CATTGCTCCTGCTCTCTGGAGCCAGAGTTTGCAGGAAAAGAAACATCAGTAAATAATAATTTGGCCATGAATATGTGCCTAAGAGAAAGAATAAGAGGGCCCTGACTTGGAATGATGAGGGGTCAAAGAAAGACACTGTCGGAGGAATGAGCAGAGAGCATTGTAAGCTGTTGTTTTAGCTTCAGAAATCCTGCCTGCTCTTGACAGTAGCCTTTTCCAGAAAGTCCTCCCTGCTGACTCCTTGACAATGTACTTTAGGCCTTTTCTGAGAGTCTACGCAAAGGATCGGATCCTTTTTCCAAAAGGTTGGGACAAAGACTCAAGGGAAAATCGGGAATAGTGCAACTTGGCTGAGTTGAGCAGGAAGGAAAGTCAGGACGTTGTGCCTCTGACTTGTCTTTGGGGACTTGGAACTGCCTTACTGAGGGCAGTGTGGTCCAGGCTAAAGGTCACTTGAAGAATGCTGGCAGCTGCTGTCTACAGAACACCAAGGATCTGTGGTTGCTTCCTGTCAAGAGCCGTAGAGCCCTTTGCTTAGAGGAGATACTAGGAAGCCTGCCAGCTTGTGGGGGCTGTTGTTTTGGGGAGCTGCAGCCCCACATTGGCTGCTCCTACCAGATGTCTGACTATAGCCTGGGAGGAAACTGGCAGGGGTCTTCATGTGTGGCCACCCTGCCCTTGCTTCAGACCCCTTTGTGGTTCCCCGTGACCATCAGGGCAGGCCAGATATCTTAGCAGGGCATGCTGGGGCTCTCCCACTCCCACAGCCTTACTCCAAGTTTGCCAGATTCTCTGGTGGGGATACCTGTATGGTTTGCAGGTGTTGTTTTCCCTGCTGAGCATCCCTTCCTTCTTGCTCCTTCTAAAAATCAAGTCTTAGACATCCTTCCAAAACTTGACTGTCTCTTCCTCACTTCCCACTGATGTGCTGCTTGGACCAGGTGGCCTTCCTCTGTGGGTCCAGGCCATGCTGGACCCACCGGTGCTCACAGGTCAATTCTGTCCTCTTTCTCTCCCTTTCTTTTTGCCTTCTCTCTCCCTTTATTCATCAGTGATTTGTTATTGGGCCCCCAGCATGTTCTAGTGACACCAGAGTGGTGAACAAGGATGAGCAGTGCAGACCCAGACCCTGCCCAAAAGGAGTTTGAGGTACAATAGTGACCGTGAAATTTTCAAACAGTGAAGATAAACAACACACAAAGAAGCCAGGTCTTTCCCTTAAAGAAATTAAACTGGTGATAAAGGCTCTTTTTCCATAATTAAAAAAATAGATAAAATACTGGGGAAAAGGATACATTTAAAGTCTTCTATTCTAACCAATAGAACTTAGCAAAGGCAATGAGCTATCACTACTACAATCACATTCATTATATAAAATGGTCTCTCTGGAGTCACTTTTTCTCTCCTGCTGGCCTTGAAGAAGTAAGCTGCTGTGCTGTGAACTCCTTAGAGGGTGGCCATGTGGTAGGGAAGGAACTGTAGGCCTTTGTAGAACAGAGGCCCTCAGCTCCTTGTGGACAATGAGTGCCTGAGCTTGGAAGCACATTCTTCCCCAGTTGCGTCTCCAGATGAGAATGCAGCCCAGCTGTGGAATGTGATGGGGTGGGGATTTGATTGATTTCATTTTGATTTGATTTTTTTGGGTAGAGGAGCCAACCAAACCAGGGCCAGACAGCTGACCGACATAAATTGTGAGATAATAAAGATGTGTGTAAAAAAGTTTCTGTTCTCAGATTATTGCTAATTAAGGAAAACCCTGGGATTATGGGACTTTTCCCATTTCTGCATATGTAAACATGAGGGGAAGGAAATAATTTATATAGGCTTTAGGCACCTTCCATGAGAAAAACTATGGGGCCACCAAGTTTGTTGGGTCTTTGCCTCTGCGCAATCTAGGGGGACAAACCAGAAAAGAGATCCCAGCATGAAAGCTCAACTCAAGCTTTGCTTTAGCATCTCCGAGAAGGTGAGGCAGTCACAGGGCCCATAGATTTTTGTAGTTGGTCACAGGTTGAAATTCTGTAATTGTCTTAATACTTGATCACCATTCCACTGTCTCTTCCTGGTCCTTTAGCTCCAAAAGAGTGGGTGATGTGTCCATCTTTTTTTTTTTTTAATAACAGCTTTATTGGGATATAACAACCTAAAGTTAACCTTCTTAGAATACACAATTCAGGTTTTTTTAGGGTATTCACAGTTGTGCAATGATCACTGCATCATAATATCAGGCCATAAAAGTCTTTTCCAAGAAAAACTCATCTCCAACTTCCATGAAACATCACTCCACTGCCTCCACTGATCTGCTTTGTATGGATTTGCCTATACTGACATGTAAAAATGTTATCATAGAACCATGTGACCTTTTATGACTTTTGTTCATATAGTGGGATCTTTTCAAGGTTCATCCTTGTTGTGACTTTTATCACTATTGATTCCTTTATATGGCCTAAGAATATTTCACTGTGTGCATGTCACTTATCTGTTCATCATTTGATAGACGTTTGGGTAGTTTCCACTCCAATGTTAGTATGAAAATACATCTGTGAACATTTGTATACACATATTTGCGTGGTTGTAGGTTGTCGTTTCTTTTGCATTGGTTGGCCCATGGGTTGGACTTGCTGAATTGTGTGGTGACTCTGTGTGTCCTGCTTGGAGGAACTGCCAAACCATCTTCCAGTGGCTGCACTATTTTACTTTCCCACCAGCGTTGTAGGAGGGTTCCAATTTATGCACATCCTCACCAACGTTTGCTTATTTCTGTCTTTGTTTTTATAATAGCCATCCCAGTGGGTGTGGGGAGGTGTCTCGTTTTGATTTCCTGATGATTAGTAACATTGAGCATCTTTTCACAGGCTTACTGGCCATTTCTGTGTCTTCCTTGGAGAAGTAGCTATTTTGCCCTTTGCCCATTTTTAAGTTGAATTGTCTTTTTATTCTTGTAAGAGCTCTTTATATGTTCTGAATGCAATCTCATATTGATATGTGATTTCCAAACATTTTCTCCCATTCTGTGGATTGGCTTCATTTTCTTGGTAGTGGTATGTTTTGAAATGTGAAAGTTTTTGATGTTGAAGTACAGCCTTGCTTATTTCCTTTTATTGCTTCTGCTTTTGGTGTCATAGTGAAGATTCCATTTAATCTAAAGTCATAGAGATTTGTCCCTATTTTTTTCTAAAAGTTTTATGGTTTTAATCTTTCATTTAGGTCTTTGGTAATAGTCCAGATTGTATCCCCCCGTGCCTAGCATAATGCCTGATGTATAGAAGGCACTTGGTACATATTAAGTAGAATGAATACTATCTCTTAAATGAATGAATGAATGAAAAAAAAGGTATCTCCTTGTCCCAGAACTGTTGCTACATAAGTTCCAGGGTTAAGAGAGTGCCATAAGAAAGGGCACCAGTTTGTTTTTAGTTTTTTTTTTTTTTTTTAATAGAGGCATGTTTTTTATTTATTTATTTATTATATTTGTTTGTCTTGTTTATACATGCACTGGGTACAGTCAGAAGCGCGGGAGGGTGAGAGAACTCACCAGAGCCAGAGCGGGGAGCAGAGCAGGCAGAAGGGCTGAAGTACACTGCTGAGGGGAGCAGCGGGCGGCAGGAGAGGTCTGCGCACCATGTGGGATCCTCCTCCGGTGGCCGGGGAGCAGCCGGGGATCGAACCGGCGCCGCAGAGGCCGCGGGCAGCTTCGCAACCCAGCGCTCAACCGCTGCGCCACCGGGGAGGCCCCACCACCAGTTTGTTTTTAATCTCATCCCCCACGACCTGCCACCAGTGAATTCTCAGAGTTTCCTTTCTTCCAGCTTCTCTTTTCCTAATTTTTCTTAGTTTTGTCTCTCTTTACTTTCCCTTTTTGACAAAATGTTGCTAAGCCTTTTCCTGAATAAATCATTGTCTGGTCTACTTTGATAGCATCATACATACGGTCGTTCTATAAGGAAATATTTCCCCATGAAAGTCTTGGTTGGGGGCCTCCCTGGTGGCCCAGGGGTTAAGTCTAGGCGCTGTCACCACTACAGCCTGAGATCGACCCCTGGCCAGGGAGCTAACCCACGTTTGGCGCAGCAGACCTCTCCTGTCGCACCCGCTGCTCCCCACAGCAGTGTATTTCAGTAGATCTGCCTGTTCTGCTCCCCACTGGTGAATCCTTTCACCCCCCACACCTCTGGCCTACACCCCAGTTCTTCTACGTAAAAATAAAAAGAAATTAAAATAAAAAAATCTTGGTTGGTTTGCTACTTGATGGTTTTTCTTGAGTTTGATGAATAAATTCAGGTAACATGGCAGTGTATAAATTAAATAAAGTAGATTAGAGGTTGCCTCCTGGGGCAAAGTATGATGTCTGGAACTTGTATTTAGAAAAAATGCTATGTGCATTTGAGAGAAAAAATGAGGAATGCTGTCACCTAGCAAATCTGGGTGAAGGCTGTTTGGGAGTTCCTTGTGCTATTATTTTTGCAACTTTTTTTATGTTGAATTTTTTTCCAAAAAACTATCTCCGGAAATTTGATGCACAGAAGGAGTAAAGCCGTGGACCTAGAAAGAGTACTGTGCTGGTGCTACATTCACTTTTTCATTTAATTCTTAAGTACTTAGGAGGAAACTAGGGTGAAGCAGGTGACCAGGGTCACACCAGTGGGTTGAGGAAAGAAACAGACCTTGATTGTGGGTCTCTGACTCCAGGACTAATGTGTATTCTGGCTTTGTGTAGCTCAGATGGTCACCCTTTCCTGGAGTTTCTTTGGAGCCAACGCTCTCCTTTACCTGTCTCCATCATGTTGCTCCCTGACACTTAGAGCCTGTGAGGGGATGGGTTCACCCAAGAATTTCTGGAACATATGGGTTGCCTTTGTGGAACTGAGAAAACAAACAGGTCATGAAAGGAACCGATGCCTCGTCCCAGTCAGCAGGTGGACCCCCCCCATATCACTCACTGGGGGCCCTGAGGCTCTCGGGAGGTAGGCCTGACCCCCACTTCTGCCCTCCTGTTCCAGGAACTGAAGCTGCCCGCCTTCCGTGCCCACTCCCCTCTCTTGAAGAGCCGCCGGTTCCTTGTGGACATCCTGACCCTTCTGAGCAGCCACTGCCAGCTCTGCCCCACAGCCCGGCACCTGGCCGTCTACCTGCTGGACCACTTCCTAGACCGCTATAATATCATCACCTCCAAGCAACTCTACGCTGTGGCCGTCTCCTGCCTCCTGCTCGCAAGTATGTGCTTGGAACCCACTTCCTCACAGTGCCTCTCCTCCCCCAAGAGCCTCGGGGCTCACCGATCATTTTATGTTTCCTTGGTCTTTGCACATCTCTTTTCATCCTCAGCTGAGTGCAAACCACAGTAATAATAATCAACATTTTCTTTAGCATCTTTGATGCACCAGGCAAAGTGATGAGAATTGTAGCAGCTTGATCTCAATTAACAGCGACCCTGGGAGACAGATACTATTAGTACCGCATTTTACTGAGGCATAGAGAAGTTAAGAAATTTTCCTTAGATCCCCCAGTGCCATATACAGTGGACAAAATTTGAGTCCAGACATATATATGGAATGGTGCCCTGACCTGTTCTTGTGACCCCATGCCACCAACTTCCTTCTGTTGTTACAGAGGAATGAACATCCTCCCTGATGTGCATAGAGGCTGATACCATGATCCCCAGGTTTTGAGAAAGTAAGGCAGCTTTATGCGAATCATTTGGCCAGGAGGCAGAAGATAGATTCAAATCTGCCTCCCCAGTTAAGAAAGGGAATTAAGTTATGTAGTTGGCGGTCGGAGTGGGGAGACTGGAGTTCAGACAAAAAGAGTTAAATTTTACTGGCTAGGAGCAGGTGAGGGCAAAGAAGAGCATGGACTTAGCTGAACTTTATCAGCTAGTTGAAGGGCAGTTCATCCATGGAGAAGTATCAAGAATTTTTGTGTGTTTTTTTAAATTCAGATAACTTGAGTTGAATTTCTGCTGGGGGGACCCCTCATCTCTGGGTAACCCCCCTCTGTGTTTACTGTCTCCTGGTTCCAGCTGGCCTTGGGGCTCTGCTCAAGGTCAGCCTCTTCTGTTTGCTCAGGTCATTTGCAGATAAACTGCTTTTGTGAATACAAGCCTGAAAGGGAGTTAGATAAGATTTGTGTGTGTGTGTGTGTGTGCATGTGTATGTGCGCGTGCGCACGCGCGCACTCTAGGCTCTGAAAGCAGCTTAACTTAACCATTTTGCCTCATTATAGTATGGAATCTGAATGTGCTAGGGATGGGGAGAATCCAGCCAGCACTATTCTTAGAGGTGGATCGAAATATGGTTATGGGGCCACCTGGTCGAGGCATGGCCCTCTCTGGGTTGTCAGCTTGCACAGGGAAGCTGTGTCCATGTCATCTGCATCAGTTGGGATAACTACACAAATATACTGCTGCTGAGGTCACATGCTTAAAACACACTTCTGGGGCCTCCCTGGTGGTGCAAGGGGTTAAGCGTCAGCACTATGAAGCTATCCGCAACTACTGCAGCATGAGTTTGGAGCTACCCACATGGCACAACAGACCTCTCTGTCTTGCCCACTGCTCCCCTCAGCAGTGTATTCCAGTAGATCCACCTGTTCTGCTACCCACTCTGACTCTGGTGAATCTTCTCATCCCCTGCAACTCTGCCCTGTACCCCAGTTCTTGTCTGCATAAGTAGATAAATCTTAAAAACAAAAACACTTCTGTGCTGTCATCCTGCCACCTAAAATCACCCCTAGTTTATCAACCACTTTAGGACAATGACCAGCCTGTCAAGCTGCTCTAACCTTGTACCTTTCTCCTCTTCACTCCCTGGGTTCCAACCCAGCCCTTCCTATTACAAAACTTTACGCATGCTGCTCCCTCTCCTCTGCCAGTGCTTTCTTTCCCTTCCCCTGCACGTCCAATCCTGGTTAAGTGTCACAGGGGCTACTTCCCTGAGAGGGCCAGCCCCCCTTCTAAGCAGGTGAGGTCTCTCTCGCCTGATGTACAGTCACATGTGCTTTTTAATGAGCACCCTCCTCCCCGTCTCAACAGTGAGCATCAGGGTGGGGAAGACCTCAGAAAATAAATATTTGTGGAATAGATGAAATGAGCGGACTGAGTTGCTCTAAAGCTGGGCTTCCACGCATCTCCAAGTTGCCCTTCTGCAGAGCAGCAGGTGCCCTCAGTGGCATGAGGCCAACACCACATTTGCCCTTCCCTAGTATTTATCCTTAAAATTCAAGCAGATTTTACTTTCTTCACCGTGATTTGCTGTTGTCCTATTTATTTCATGTGTGCATCCCTATCCTGAGTGCTACTAATGCTTCGAGGAGAGAGTGCCCCTCCCCCCCAGGGGCTTTGTCTGCTCCTGGCATGCTGCCCTGAGCCCCCAAGTATGATTACCCAGGGCTGACACGTGGCTTTATCATTCTCAGAGCTCTGCCTTGTTTTCCACCCTGCACCATCCACCTGCTGTTACATATAATCCCTGTGGCCACTTTGGGATTTTCTCCACCTTGGGCTAGCTGGGTTGCCATGCTCTGCAGAGGAGAGCCACTGAAAAGTATTAAATCCACGTGCGGCTCTCTCGCCTTGGGAAGGGATGCGGCACTTCTGAGACATCCCCATCAGGAAAGGCAGAGCGGGCATCGCATTTCAGGCAGCCTGCAAGGCTGCAGCGCGGCCTTTGGCCTGCTGCTGTCTGTGATCTGTGGGCTGCATCGAGGCCCGCTGGGACCAGGGGGCTTAGATTTCCATGGGGCCATGGAGGCTGGCCCCCAGCATCTGTCTAGGGAGCCGAGACGTGAAGCACACACTGGAGACTCCTTTGTGCTGTGGAGGAAGGGGGTCTTTTAGTCGAAGAGGCAGACACCCCCACCCACATGTCTGGGGGCAGCAGCCTGCCTCGGGCAGCAGGAATGGATTTTTCAAGACACCTGCCATATGCTCAGAGGCCGGAGGAAAGAAAAGTTTCCATGACAGCCTGAAATCCTATTCATTCTGCCCTCTCCTCTCCCCAGGCTGACTGTCAGCCACAAGGGAGGTCACCTTGCCTCAGGAAGTTTTGAGTTCTGCTAATTCAGTACCAAGTAATTCCCGGATAGGAAGAGCCATGGTTCTTCCTATCTCCACCTGTCACTTAGGTTTTTTCCAGCTGCTTTCAAATAAGGGCCTTTGCACGGATGGACAGATAGAACCTTCTCATCCACAGACAGCCCCTCCTTCTCCCTAAAACAGGTCCATCAAGGGCCCGTGTCTAGGACTACAAAGAAGTGGAGAAAGCAAGAGCCTGTAGGTTGTTCCACCAAAGTGGATAAGTGAGAAGCCCCCTTCCCAGCCCCTGTGGCCTCTCTGTCACCAGTTTATCATTTGTGTTTCCTCCCCTCACATTCCTAGAATACTACCACAGAATAAATACAATCTAGATAGAAATATATCACAGAGCCGTTCTCCTCTTTAATCTTTTATATTAGACACATCCCCTCTCAATTGTCCTTTCGTGGTGGTTGTTCATGACATAGAAACTCGGCGATTTCTAGAAGCATTGGCTCAGACACGATGCTCACAGGGCAGCAGGGGCTGCGTTACTTATCTGTCCCTCTCTCCATGCCCAGGCCTGTGCCACACACTTTACATCATATGAAATCCCCCTACCAGCTTATGTGGTTGTGCTGACATCTGCCCGTTCCATAGGCTCAGAGAGACTAGAGTAACTTGTCCAAGGTCACACAGCTCCAAGGATGGTTTTTGTTTTTTATTTTTGAAATGGAAGTAAAATTCCTATCATGACATAAAATTCAACCTTTTAACCATTTTAAAAGAGTACAATTCCATGGCATTTAGTGCATTCACACTGTTGTTCAGTCGTCTCTTCTCTTTAGTTCCAGAATATTTCCATACCCCAAAAGTAGGCCCTGGAGTCACCTCTATTCCTTTCCATCCCCAGCATCTGACAACTACTAATCTATTTTCTGTCAGTATAGATTGGCTTTTTTAAAAATATTTCCTATCAAAGAAATCATACAGTACATGATCTTTTGTGTCTGCTTCTTGCACTGTGTGTGTCCAGGGGTCATCATGTTGTGGCGCATTTCATTCCTTGTTATGGCTGAGTAACGTTCTCTGGGGTGGCTGCACCACAAGCTGGGTGCCCAGTCATCATCACTTGATCGACATTGGGTTGTTTTCTCCTTTTAAGCTACTGTGATGGGTGCTGTTCTGAACCTTTGGGCTCCAATTTGTTTGAACACCTGTTTCCAGTTCTCTTGTGTAGAGATGTAGGATTGGAATTGCTGCTCATAAGGTCCTTTATGTTGAACATTTTAAGGAAGCAAACTTGGGTTTTGCTTTGCTTGATTGTGGCTGCTCAGACATGACTGAATACTGCATCCTTAGCTCAGTGCTTAAACCAGCCTGGGGAAGGGGAGAGAGTGGAAAAGAAAGTCAGAAGGTGGAGACAAGGCCAGCGGCCTTTGTGCTAGAGCCTTGAATGTGAGATCCCATTATGATGATGCAGGAAGTATGAGTCATGTGGTTTTTTTTTTTTTTAAGATTTATTTATTTGTGCATACAAGAGCTCGGTGCTGGTCAGTGGAGCAGGGGCCAGGGGAGGCTGAGAGGATTCACCAGAGACAGAGTGGGGAGCAGAACAGGCAGATCTACTGAAATACACTGTTGAGGGGAGCAGCAAGCTAGACGAGAGGTCTGCTGCACCCTGTGGGTAGCAGCAGTTTGATCCCTGGCTGGGGATCGAACTCATGCTGCAGTGGCTGCAAATAGCTTCACAGTGCTGCACCTTAATCCCTTGCACCACCAGGGAGGCTCCTGAGACTCGTTTTTATTGTCAAAAACCTCAAAAGAGGGCCTCCCAGGTGGTGCAAGGGGTTAGGGACAGCACTGTGAGGCAATCCACAGCCTCTGCAGCACGAGTTCAATCCTGGCCAGCCAGGAAGCTGAGCCACACGGTGCAGCAGAACTCTCCTGGCTCACCTGCTACTCCCCTCAGCAGTATATTTCAGTAGATCTGCCTATTCTGCTCCTCACTCTGTCTCTGGTGAGTCCTCTCACCCCCTCACGCCTCTGGCCTGTACCCCAGTTCTAGTTTGCATAAATAAAAAATCTTTAAAAAAAAACAAACCTCAAAAGATACAGACACACCTGGTATAAAAATTGATAATAGAAGTACCTAGTGGGAAAAAAACAATTTCCTCCCTGAACCAGTAGCCTCATTCCCACA